GCGACGTCAGAGGCAAAGCGACTCATGCCAGCAACAACATCCGGAATAACAAAATCAGGCTACAGCTAACGCTACCCATGGTAGGTGGACTGTAGACTTGCAGACGCGATGAAGAGCACGCGTGATACATCGACTAGGAGTGAGTCGGGTTGCAAATGGGGGGATATGATTTTGGGACAACAGTTATAATAGCTTGATGGTATTCTGCTGCCAGTGGGGCTTCAGTGGGCCGGAGAAGCGTCAAGCTGGTCTGTCTGCGCTTTGAACACGAACGCAACCAAGGCGCCGCTGGCGATACCCATGTGTTTTCAATACCCTCGTCGGAGAGGGGAAATGGAACAACACAAAAACAAAACACAACATCGTCATCCACAACAGCAGCAGTGGTCCCTGTGCAACGCCGCATAGCATTGGCGTATTTTCCTCAACTTCGCTGGAGAGGGGGAATGGAATAACACAAAACAAAAGAAAAACATCGTCACCCACAACAGCAGAGCAGTGGTCCTCGTGCAATGCCGCACAGCGCCAAGAGACTTGGCCGCCCTCATACCAGACATGACAAAAACTTGAATATCCACTCAATCCGTGTGTCACCACCGTCTACTAATGCGGTCTACCAGGGGGACCACTCACGACCGCTGTCCCCAAGCAAGAAACAGCCCTCCCGCACGAGCAGACAAAAAGACAAACACACCCAATGTAGTACCCACGGAAGACAATCAAGACAAAACACACAAAGTCGTAACCACGGAACCTTTCCAGAAACACGCAACGACTGAGAGGGTAGAATAGGGGCTTGACCCACATGGCCGGAAGCCTCAGAAGTGAGCTGCTCGAGGGTGGGAGCCTTTACTGGGGCGGCCAGCAGAAGGTCCTTGACGTCGATGGCCGCCGTTTCCTCGCCCATGTGGTGCTTCGGCTCCACCCAGAGCTCCTGCCAAGCACAAGCACCCCGGAGAACAAAACGGGAAAAAAAAATGTAACGCTCCCCGGCCACGCACGTGTGTACTGTACATTCATCAGAGAGCGCACGTGACACTGCACTCCCCCCATCCCCTACTCTCTGTCACTCTGTCTGTGCCTGTGTCTCTGTCTGTCGTTAGGTCTCTATTGCTGCCTTGTCTCTTTCTCCATTTGTTTGTCTGTCTGCCTCTCCCCCCC